CATGTCTTTGCTAAAAAAAAAATCCCAATATGTGTACATTAATTGGTTTACGTGAAAGTTATAGCGTCTATAAATGGCGGTATAGACACTGGAATTTTTTTTTTTTTTATACTAGTAATAGCGGCTTATAGCGGGACTGCGGCGGGCATTCTGACACTGGGAAGGAACTAACTCCCCAGTGACACTAATACAGTGATCAGTGCTAATAAAAAGCACTGACACTGTGCTAATGGCACTGGGCAAGAAGGAGTTAATATGTGGGGCGATCAAAGGGTTAACTGTGTGCTGTTTTACTGTGTGCTGTGCTTTACTGTGTCAGCACATTGCTTTGTATTGCTCTGCTATGCAGAGTAATACAAAGCAGGGGCGTATCTACCACAATGCAAACAAGGCATTCACCTAGGGTGGCATCTTCCAGGGGGGCAGCGGCATCTTTCAGGGGGGCAGCGCCGCCCCCCGAAAGAAGGGATGGTAGAAGGGACACACGCAGCATGGGGAACAGGTGGGATCTGAGAGGGTCTGTGGGCTGCTTGATGGTGTATGCAGAGCCTGACTCTTGTACCCGGGGATGTCTAGATCTGTGAAGGTGAGGGTTGTCAGTGTATGGGGGGGGGGGGGGGGGGGGGGGGTAGTGGCAGTGGAAGGCTCTCTCAGGTGGGGGCGCTGAGGTGTTGTTGGTCAATGTCAGGCGCTATTCGTGGGGAAGGGAGGTGTTGGTCGGTGTCGGGGTCTCTCTGGGGGGGCCAATTTTTGTGTTGCCTACTGTAGGGCAGCACAAAACCTAAATACACCACTGATACAAAGCAATGTGCAGGAGCTGACAGTGGAGAGATCTATATAGTTTACATACAGGTCCCCCCCCCCCCCCCCCCCCCGTCCTGTCAGTGATACTCGACGATCGTCGAGTGCCAGTGGAGAATTACTGGCCAGGACCCGGTGATCAACAGCTGAGGCCAACAAGCTACCCGTAAATGCAAAAATAAAATATATATATATATATATTCAAAAAGTGCTTTATCACAGAAATTGTGTAAATGTGTAAATGAACCCTTGAAGGAAACTAGATGTCCATCTTTAGCTGGCCATATTCGGTTTCATTTTTTTTTTTTTTTTTTTTTTTGCTAGCATGCTGAGGAGGAAAAAAAAACAGATTTCTCCATCTGCAGGTGAGGTGGATGGAGGAATCCCCCCCAGAACATTGTATTCTGACAGAAGGAATCTCCGCTGTCAAAAGAAACCCATCAGATGCAACTACTGATCTACAAACGTTTTCCAGTGTGTTTGTTTGACCGAACAATTGACTTCTGCCAAACAGGAATGGCCACACATGGATCAAAATTCAGCCATTACCTACTAAACCATCCAAATTTCAATCTGGCCAGTTTAAGATTACCATATCCATTGGGTCACAACACAACTGTTTGGTTTCATGGCACAGCTAACGGTGCTAGTGGAAAAATGAAAAATCTACAGGAAGGACTCAAAAAACATTAAAAATATTGCAACATATATGTCATTTTTTATTTTGCCCATAGTTTCATAATACTTTCTACATTTACTATTTCTTTATTAAATGAATATAATCCTGTTTAAAATTATAATACAAATTTATGGAACAGAAAATAATTGGCTAAAGATAACACTACAACTGCACCAAAATAGAAATGTACTCATTTATGTTTGGTTGCTGCAAAAAATTAATAAAAAAATTAATAAAAATTACTGCTTACATGTTAAATAATTAAAGACTATGAGATCAGTGAGTTCAGTTTGGCCAAATTCCAAGAAGTTCGTTTTGATCATCCGTCCTGTTCAAGCTGCACCAGACAAACACTGCACCAGTGTGGGAAACATTTTGGTTGACAAAACAGATCAAGTGTAGACTTAGGTGGAGTAGCCGCAGTACTTGAAAACATTTTAAAGGAAGACATTCTGTGATTTCTCATTGATGCTGCTCAGTGATCTTTCACTTGATTTCACTTATAACAAGCCTGACATTAAAAAAAAATTACTTGACTCCAAGAGACAAAAAAGACAAGTGAATACTGCATCCCCATGTGTTCCAGAAAGTGGACTGCTGAACTGTACTGGTCCATTAGCTATGTCAATACTGTTTTATAAGCACTATAAACTTGTTCTTCTACAGGCAGCTTGTATATGCAGGAGCTGGCTGTGAAATCTGTTTCTCATAAATGGCTTCAGCACATGTTTTATATAAAAATAATTTGCACAGCAATTCACCCAGTAAAAGTGCATGTACGTTTGATTGGGTGCGAATGTACATAGGCTATATCTTGTGCTGTTCAAACATAAATCATTGAATTGAAACAGAAAAGGCTGAATTGGCCACTAGATGTACCAAAACATTGGGGGTTTTTCCCCATTCGCACAGTATGAATGTGCATGCACTTACACTGAGCAAATGACTATGCAAATTCTTTACATATCAACCTCCTATGAGCAAAAAGAAAAAAAAAAAACAGCACTACAGCTGGTGCCACCAAAAGCATCAATGTACATGACCGGACAGCAACAGTCCCGCAGCAGTAGGCCAGCAATGTGAAACTGCAGTCCCGCTGTGTACAGCTCTGAATCCCACATCCTGAGAGCAAACCGATCCCTTGCTGTAGAATATATCTGCAAAAACATTTAATATAAGCTGAAACAATCATTTTAATGTAATGTATTTTCAAAAGTTGTTTTCAACCTGTTTAAACCACTTGACCTCTGGAAGGTTTTACCCCCTTCATGACTAAAGCATTTTATTTGCTATTCAGCAGTGCGCTACTTTACCTGGCAATTAATAATGTAACACTGTACTCAAATGAAATGTTATCATTTTTTTCACATAAATAGAGCTTTAATCAGCCCTTGTTTTTTCTTTTTTTTTTTTTTTTATATATAACCCAACAAATACAGAACATTTTGAAAAAAATAACATGTTTTTTATCGTTTCTGTGTTTAAAAAGTTTGCAAACAAATAATCTTCCTTCATAATTTCAGGCCAAAATGTTGTCTGCTACATTTCTTTGGTATAAAAAAAATAACCCAAATCAGTGTATATTATTTAGTCTGCGTGAAAGTAATAGAGTCTACAAACTATGGTATATATATTTGAAAAGTGATCTGATGGCCGATCTCATTTCTTGAGGCCATAAACTGCCAGGGACAGTACAAAATCCCCCCCCCCGCCGCCCCGCCCCCCCCCCCCCCCCCCCCCCCCCCCCCCCCCCCCCCCCCCCACCCCCCCCCCCCCCCCCCCCCCCCCCCCCCCCCCCAAATGACCCCTTTTGAGAAATACAGTCCAAGGTATTTAGTAAGAGGCATGGTAAATTTTTTTCAAGCTGTAATTTTTTGTCCCAATTTTTTGGAAAATGAAGAAATTAAATAGAATTTGGGTGTTTTTTTTCACGATTTTCTTTACATACTGTCACCAGTGCAGTACAGCATCATCATATGACTGGTGTCCGGCGGTAATCAGGGATACTGACTGGTGAAAGTATGTGAAAAAAAACTAACGGCAATCATTTGACCTGTCATGCATGGCTTTCATTCATGAATTATTGCTTACTGTCGTAATGCTGTGATTGGCCCACAGCTGTCTTATGGTACAGAGCACTGTGATTGACCCAGGTACCATGTGATCACTGGTGACCTGCAAATCACACACAGTAGTAAACAATGATGTCATTAATGGATTCCATTCATGACTATTATTTACTAGGTGACATGTGATCGCACAGTGATCATTTGGTATCTGGGCTGCCTCTAGTGGAGAGTACAAGCAGCCAGAGGTGTCCTTAGGGTTGGTGTCACCTGGTGCGATAACACGTGGTGTCACCCCTCCAGAGAGGAAGGAGTGGTGCCAGTGTAGCGGTAAAATGAGTATCGCAGACCCGTGAAGATATGTATCCCTGAAGCAACTGCGCATGTGCCGGTTTCATGCCGAAGAAGCCGATCTCCGACTTTAGCACAGAGCTGCCACAGTTAACCCCTTAGAGGCTGCAAACCGCTGAAGCTGATCCCATGGATCGCTATGGGTTGCAAGATCAGTTAACCCTGTATAAGTTGAACCAGCAATCTGGCTCCTGTCCCTTTAAATGAGGTGAACAGTCACTAGTATGGGGTAATCTGGTTTTCCACCAGAGGGCTCCTTCCCCTATCTGCCCAGGGTGTGCAAGTGTACTCACTCAGATTCTCTCCTGTACCACTTGCGGGTTGGCTGCTGCTGCCAAGCCTATCAGCTGGGCTGCTCCTTCCTTGCCATGTAGGTTGACCTCACTCAGGAGGCCAGTGAGCTCCAAGCTTTCCACTTTTCCAGCCCAAGCGAGCAGGCAGGCCCCATCCCACTAGGCCTCCTGGCAACCTTCCTCCTCCAACCTCACATCTTCCTACTTCTTCCACCCAACTCCCCACACTCCTGCTCCTGAGCAGGCTCCTACACTTTTAAGGGAGTCCCAGTCCTTTGCCAAGCCTTCTGTTGGGGATTGGCTAAGGTCCCTCAAGTGTGCAGCCAGCCACTCCTCAGATCCACCCACTGCTTCCAAGACCCTCCTCTGAAAGCCTCAGAGCAGGGGGAATTCCAGAGGGGCTGGGCTGCAGAGTATCTCAGCCCTGACCACAAATTGACCCTTCTAGCTATTACAACTGAGCTGCTAACAAGCACCTGTCTAACCATTAGGATCTAGCTCCCCTTGGCTAAACTAGGAGGATGCTACAGTTTCTATGCAGAGCTGCACCAGATTTTACACTCTCCAGTTTTAGTAAATCAACACCAATATCTACTCATTTATTAAATCAACCCCTGAAAAGCGAGAAACCATTCAACTACTGTAGGAGCAATTCAGATGTTTTTTGTCATGTGCAGGTTTGAAAATAAAAATAGAGATTATGATTGTACTTATTTGTATTTCAGAGTATTCGGAGTTCTGCTCATCTTGGTGGATTTTGTGTTCGTCATCGTAGATCTGTCGGTGATGGATAAAAGTACTCAGACATCGCGTATCATATCAGGAATTTCCTTAAGCATTTCCATCTTCTTCCTCATGGATGTCCTGCTACATATCTTTGTGGAAGGGTATGTGGCAGACCAGGCATCAAGGCATTGCACGTCTAGTCTCAATAAACAGCAAATACTATTACTAAAATGTAATTACTAACTAAACTTACTACTATATACTAAAATGTAGAGTAAACTCCATCAATAAAGGAAAGTCCTGTCTTTTAGGCCCCTTTCACACGGGCGTTCCGTTTTCTTCATCAGTTCAGTCACGTTTTTTCCAAGAAAAAATTGATCAGTTCACATCAGTTTTTTATCAGTTTGTGTTTCATCAGTTTACATCAGTTTTGCATTCAGTTTTTGTCTGTTTACATCCATTTTTGTCTGTTTACATCCATTTTCGTCCGTTTACATCCGTTTTTGTCTGTTTACATCGTGTTTTTTGTCCGTTTTATATCCGTTCTTTGTCCGTTCCCTTTTTTTTTATGGAAGACAAATAGGGTTTTCTTCTGCTCAGAAAAGGGTTGTTAATGGATGTGGACATTAATGGATGTAAACAGACGATCATCCGTTTACATCCGCTAGGCCATAGAAATGCATGGGTGCCAGTTTTACATCCGTAAACTGATAGATGAAAAACAGACATATGGAACGCCCGTGTGAAAGGGGCCTTACAGTTTAGTGTAAGCTTACGGAGTATTAGTAGGTAAATTAGATCAATTCTCAGGCCTCTGGCTAGGATAACGTGTAGTATATGCTGCAGGTCTTAGGTGGGGTGTCTCATCCTTTAGGTTAGAACTTTGGAGAATTTAATAAAATCTATTCAAGCCACTTGATTATCGTGGGGTACACACCACTTGATCTTTAAGGTGGGCTTCACCTACTTGTTGCTGTTGGGTTGACTGCTCCCAAGCAGTGGATATTCAAGGCTGTGAAGCTCAGATTGCAAGACTCTGTAGACTCCCATCAACAAGGACCAAGTTGGAAGAAGCTGCCAACAAGAAACAACTCTTTTAAAAAAGCCCAGAGATGGCAAAGTAAAAGGAGTAACCACTAAATGGGTGCAGTCTAATTCAGTGGCTCTCAGTCACTGGGATCCAGCCTTCCTCCTGTCAGGCTGCAGATTCCTGTCTGCTAGGCTTACATAGGCTCTATGGAACTATAGTATGTAGTGATACGTAGGCAGGGCTGAACTATAGTGAACCTGTCAGTTGCCTCTAAAACCAGGTGGCAGCACAGTGGTTCTTGCATAGACATTACATGCAAAAAGTCATGTGCTGTCACCCCCCGAAACATGTAAACATGAGACCTTGGGTCTGCTTGCCTCAGTGTTAAATAGCTTTTGTTGTAAAAAAAAAGGCTTCCCAGAGGTTTGAGTGGCGTATCACACCAGGGTGTACCACTGCATACCTGTCGCTGTCCTCTATTAATTCATGTAATTGGGTAATCTAACCAATTCAAAAGTGTGAATGGACAGATCAACAGGAAAGAGCAACAGGTGAGGGTTGCTGTCAGCCTGTCAATGCTTTGTACCGGCTCAGCGGCCGCCACTATTTGCATGCACCTGTCATTTCAGCTGCAAGAATCTGCCGATTCTTGCTGGATTCCAGTGTATGTGGCTAAACCGCTGTGTAAAGGAAGCCTTAGGGCAGGGGTGTCCAAGCTTTTGACTTTCCTGGGCCATATTGGAAGAAGAGGAATTGTATTGGGCCACACATAAAATACAAACACAATAAGGATAGCTGATGAGCAGGAAAAGACAGACAGATCACAAGTTAACGATCAATAATATAGGTAAAGTACCTACCGTAAGCAATTAAACTTTATTTTTTTTTTTTTTCTATATTATAAAAGGGGGCAACATAAAACTGTATTTGACACTGTTTTTGATAAACTAACATATCAGTATATCTGGTACGATGGATGTAGTAGCAATTCTCAATGAATTTTCAAGGTGCTCATTAGGATATTTTGGTTCTAATTTTGAATTTCGTATTCTTCATCCCGCAAATAGCTGCTCACAAAAATAGGTGTTGCCGAAAATTGATGACATGTATAAGGCGTGATTGTGAAGAGAGAGAGATTTTTCTTTGGGAAGATAAAACTTATGAAAGCTTGGTAAAGAGGCACTCTTCTTTGTCCGTATGTGTTCGCTAAGTGTAAACACATTTGTACAAACAATTCCAAAAAAATCAACATTTTTAAGTAAGTTTATGATTTTGTGTTGGGCCACATTCATAGCCGTCTTGGGCCACATGTGCCCCGTGGGTCGCAGGTTGGACACCCCTGCCTTAGGGTTATACAGAATAGAGACAACTCCATTACCACAGTGCAGTGTCTTGTACCTCAGCAACCTGGAATCAAGTGCACATGGGCATTTGGGAAGGAGGTGTGTTTATGTAAATAGTGATCATGCCAAAGTCAGGAGGATGATGTTGCACTCACATCACAAAACTAGAGCGATGACTGGCCGGCTGTGCTGTCCACTCTACTCTACGTTTCATTTATAATGTTTTTCTTTGGCATATGTTGACTATATTGACCACTGGAGATGGTCCTGCTAAAAAGGAACAGGTAAACAACTCTGCTATACTACCATCCAGCTGACACCAATAATACCAAAAGATATGCATGTTAAGGACCTGTTCATATCATAAATCGCACAGGAACACGCTGTGAGTTCCTGTGCATTTTACATGCGAACTGTGTGCAATGCGATTTCAGCCCATTCATTTGAATGGGATGAAATCATACTGGACCTCATCAAAAGTAGTGTATGCATGCTACTTTATAAAACTCACAGCAAATGGATCACATGGTACTACTGCAATATGTGATCTTGTGCAAACCAAAGCACTGCATTTGCGACCTATGTTTGGGATGTTGTTAGGTTAACACTGACACCCGCTGCAGATTGCAAGTGCAGTGCACTTCAAACATGGTGCCGGAAATGTGCAACACGTTCTGCTGAATTATTTAAAACATCAGATACAGTGACTTTTCCATTTCTCATATTTCCTCCATGCTCACATATCAGGACGTGTCTTGTATTGTGTGGAATGTCAGCACGTCTGTTGTCCGCTTCTCTTTTGTTCGTCTCACTTGGAAATCTTATTCTTTAAATAAACTGAACATATTTTGCTGTTTCCAATGTTTCTCTTTCAGATTTCAGAGATACTTTAGTTCAAAGTTGAATATATGTGATGCTGCTATTGTTGTTATCACGCTGATTGTTACCCTGACCTACGCGTTCACAGATTTCAGTGGAGCCACCAATATTCCAAGGTACAAGTTAATCATTCCAGATAGGTATTAATAAGGCTCAGCAAAAAGTACTTTTTTAAGGTACCATGTTTTATATGGTGGCTGATTTGTACAAACTGCAAGAGGGTTCTTTACCTTTTCAATCTAGGGCACGATTTTGTGCATGTTCATAATGCTTAGACACGTATTAGCCTTGACATATGACCACCCACCTAATATTGAGTAGGTTCCCCTTTTGCCACTAAAACAGCCCTGGCCCATGGAGGCATGAACTCCATTAGACAAAGCATCACACAGATTCCACAAGCTTGCCTTGTTCCCATAGTGTATCCTGATGCCATATATTCCCCAAGTAAGTGAATCATTCACATCTGACCATCCACATGATGTAATAGAAAATGTGATTCATAAAACCAGGCCACCTTCTTCCATTGTTCTTTTATCTATTTCTGATGCTCACATGCCCACTATAGGCACATTTGGTTGTGGATACGGGTCAGCATGGGCACTCGTCTGCAGATATGCAACTCTATACGCAACAAACTGTGATGCACTGTGTCCTGACACCTTTCTAATGGAACTAGCATTAATATTTTCAGTAAAATGAGCTACAATGGCTCCTCTATTACATCAGACTACACGGGACATACTTTGCTCCACACGTACATCAATGAGGTCCTGACCACTGCAGTCTGGGAACATCTCACAAAAGCTGCAGTTTTGGAGAGGCTCTGGGGGTTGATTACTAAAACTGGAGTGTGAATATCTGGTGCAGCTCTACATAGAAACCAATCAGCTTCCAGGTTTTATTTTCAAAGCTTAATTGAACAAGCTGAAGTTAGAAGCTGATTGGCAACTATGCACAGCTGCACCAGATTCTGAGTACTCCAGTTTTAGTAAATCTCCCCCTCTGTGTCAACTCATTACAGTTTTGTCAGTCTGCTATCAGCACATCAACTTCACTAACATCATCAACTAACATCTTTAGTTCACTTGTTGCCTAATATATCTGACCCACCTTCAGGTGCCAAGATAATCCATGTTATTGACTTTACCTGTCTGTGGTCATAATGTTATGGCAGATCGGTGTATATTTGGTATAATTGTCTCTCTGGAAAAGTTCTGCAAATCATTGTATCATGAAAAATGAGAATGTTCTTTATATGTATATGTAGGCAGTACATGAAGTGTTTTAGCTACATTTCATGCTGTGCACATTTTGTGCTGTTTAGTCATTCATGTTGATGCACTTCTTTAAAATGGTAATTTTACACTTTATGTGAACCAGAGGAGGATCACTCAAGAATATGCAGTTTCCTTTTTGCATCCAAACTTTTGATATGTTTGGCCGAACCTCCACAGACCAAACCCAGGTGTGTTCGGCTCATCCCTAGTATAGAAACAATAAAAAAAGAACATTTGATTTTACCCCATTCACAGAGCAAATGTACCATAGGTTTATCTAGACAAATAGCTATGCATTTATTTTTTTAATAAATACTCCCTTAAGTGTATGACCAGTTATATTATGTCTGGTAAGAGTTACAAGTTCAGCCAAGTTTCTGATACTCTGGAATGTTCAAAATGGACTTTGCACTTGGAAGGCCAAATCTACATAAAGAGCTGACCACTCAAGTTTGACATGGAATTTAACTTTTTTTTTTTTTAGTTTTTGATTGAGTGATGAAGTGTTAAGGTGTTTTGTTTTTGCTGTTCTATCCCCACTGCAGAGATTTTTCTTCACTTCATGCCCCTGAGATATAACAGGAAGTCAACAGAAATATCCACAATGTGAGGGCAAATTCCATCATTGAAAGGTGTTACCTGAATAGTTGTTTTCCTATGAATTGATACCACTTTCTGTTTCAGTGACAGTCATATCATTTTCATTTACTTCACTTTCTGTCTGGTGACAATGGTTTCCAGAGCAAATATGATGAATCTCCCCAGTGAATACCAACCAAAGGATCTAACTATCCCCCATTTTATTCAAAACTAGAAAACATTTTGGCTGAATTCTTTCAAGCAGACTAAAGTTTCTTTTTTTATGCAAACAATCTAAAATTGCTTGATAAAATGAATAAATGTATCTACACTTGAAAACAAAGAGATAATGTATCAAAACTTTAGCAGACAGAATATGGAGCAACTGTGCATGGAAACCAATCAGTTGAGTTTCTAACGTCAGCTTAATCAGCTTTGATAATGAATGATCAAAGTTGATTGGATGCTATGCACAGCAACTCCAATTTTGATCATTTGCCCTCTATTTTGTCTTTTGGCATTTCCATAAGGTCTTCAAGCTATTTTGCAGGATCATGATTTTCTATTACCCGTTCGAATGAGTTTGCTGATTTATGCTTATTGGCTGTACAGCTCAGAGGTCATAAACTTTTCACACCTCCCTGATTTCCACTGACCTTCATAACCTCCCTCTCCCAATACAGGGGAACAGGCTTTACTAACTTGATGCCCAACAAGCGAGTGAGCCATGGTCAGTATGCAGCCTGCCAGCCCTCACCAGACTTCTAACCAAGTCTAAAGCACAGCGGCCACTTGCTAAGTGACAATGGCTCTGAAGGGTTTTAGTGCTGGAATTGCTAGCTGTCAGTCAAAGGATCAATGAATGGTGGATGGGAAGATGATTGAAAGATCCACCCCCTTCATTCATAGATGCTGCTTCATTCATAGAAGCTCTAGTACATCTTCTATGAATAGAGGGGTTGAGTATAGTTAGACTCAACAACCTGTGTCAGCACCTTAGTTCTATTACGTTGCCACACCTAAAGATTATGGTGATGGAGGTGGGGGGGGGCATAGAGGGAGGAGGGTTTTACCCAAAAGAAGAGGTATCATCACAATGGACACACCCTACTGACTGTAAGTTATATCCCTGGTGCAGATTTTTCTGTCTTTCATTTTGGTTTCACTTAGGCTTTAATAATGCTCTTGTAATACAGTATCGTGCATGAAAGTATGCTTTATTAAAGTAGTTCTAAAGCTTGAAGGATTTTTACCTTCATGCGTTCTATGCAATAAGGTAAGACCTTCTGTGTCACAGACTCCCCCTCAACCCCACTTATACTATCCTGAGCCTGATGTCGATCCACTATTGTTTACGAGAGCTGTTGCTCTCCTGGCTCTGTCCCTCCTCACTGGGCAGACTGGTAGCAGTGGAAGCCATTGGTGAGGGTATGGGGCCAAGCCCCACTGTCTGTGCCAATAGAGACAGGGAGGGAGGCTTGGAAGCAAGCCCACATGAGTGTCTCCATGGAAAGTGGCTTTCCATGGGGGCACTGGATGGGGGGAGGAGCCAGGAGCATCGGCAGGGGACCCAAGAAGTGAAGGATCGAGGCTACTCTGTGAAAAACCATTTCACAGAGCAGGTAAGTTAAACATGTTTATTATTTTAATTTAAAAAAACTGAAGCTTTAATATCACTTTAAGGTAGTTCATTCATTCTGAATGGATTGTCCGTGCACCCTGATGTAATAAAGACTGGATATTCCTTCTTTTTCACACAACAATTCGCAATGCACAGCATGTACGTTATGGTGCACTTCAGTTCAGGTTCATAACCTCCTATTATAACAGTGTGTTGGGGTAGCAGTTAAAATGAATGGCACTACAACCCATGCACACCAGTGGTTATGCACTTTACTTATTAACACAATGCACATTTATGAAAAGTAACTCTACAATATGGTACATGAATGAAATTAAATATGGATAATTCAAAAGGTAACACAGATTTGCAACTGACATGTATGCACAATTTTTAACTTGAGATTTACAAAGAAACATAGAAAAATTATGGCAGAAAAAGACCTAGTGGTCCATACAGTTAGCCCTTTTTTTTTTTTTTTAACATGTGTTTATATTTTTTTCATTCACTTCATTAATTTAGTTAACTTTATTTCATTACCTTCCTTAATTTCAGAGTGTTTACATTAAAAAATAGTTTAGTTCTGTTTTAAGTAGTTTACTAATATGTGGGTCAAGCAACTCAGTCTCTCCAGTTATGGCCAAAACCCATTAGTGTACAGTAGTATATATGTCCTGGGATGGGAAATACAGTATCTGGTGCAGCTAATCATGTAAATAACATCTCATGATGACAAAATGTAGATTTTAGTGTCTAGCAGATTGGTAATATCTGCTTTTCAATGAAGAATAGGACCAGATCATTGCAGAGTATGAGAGAGAGACAAACTTTGACCCTTTTCTATAATGTCACCATTTGCATGGAAATAGATAAATATTAAAGCACTGACATTCAAAACATCAGTATTTTAGGGGGCTTTAAATGTGTACGTTATACACACAGCAATACAGTACACATGTATGCTAACTAAATAAATAATTCTCTCTTCCTAGACTGGTAAACTTTTTCCGAGCTTTGAGAATCATCATCTTAGTGAGAATATTCCGCCTGGCATCTCAGAAGAAAGAGCTGGAGAAGGTTACTCGCCGAATGGTAAGAGTGACCTCATGTAGGCTGTAGGATAGAAGCCTGAATCGGATACACCATCATCATAAAAGTAATAAATTATGTCATCACCTCATCCATTCCTATTAAACAGTTGAATCTATCAGTATAAATGCATTAATTGCTGTGCTCCACTAATATTATTACATCTAAAAATCACCAAAAAAGAAACCTTTTTAAAGTCCCCCAAAAGAATAATTTATTACACAATTTTTTGTTGACGATGCATGTTGACAATGCAGTGTTATAACACAGTATTATTTCATTCATTTTTCATATTTCATAGTTACATATAGTTACATAGATAATCTGACTGAAAAAAAGACAAAAGTCCATCCAGTTTAACCATTAAAAAAAAAAAAAAAAAAAAAGTTATAATCCTACACCCACAGTTGGAAGGCAAAAAAACCAGCAAAGCATGAACCAATTTGCTTCTGCAGGGGAAAAAAATTCCTTCCTGATCCCCCTAGAGGCAATCAGATATTTCCTGGATCAACTTTAATTCAAATTTCATATTTGAAAATTTCAAATACATATTTCATTTCATTGATTTTTTTTCACCACAAGTTGTGGTGTGGGAGTACTGCATCCCAACATGCTTCACTGCAAAAATTAGTGCATGTTCTACTTTTTTCAACGCATATCAATACAGCGCAGTGGTGTAAACTGAACTCATAGGATCAAGGCAAATTGCCTTTTTATGTGTTGGTACTGTGTTGCCAACTGCAACCTAACCCCTATGGTGTGAACAGACCCATAAGTGTAAAGAAAAATCCCATTGTAGAACCCTCTAGTGTGCTACTAGATTAGTGTAGTGTATTTTAGGTAAAATCATTGTGTATGATTCATGGTAATTGTGTGAGTCTGTGATTGAAGTGGGGATATTGCAGGTCAGCTGAATGACTCAACAGGTTGTGGTTCTATTGCCTCCTCCTGACTCTGGAGGACCATAGAATTTTCCAGAAGTCAATAAGCAGGAAGTGGTGGAGACCTAATCTGCATGTTCAGGGAGTCCAGCCAGTCCCAGTTTGGAGGCCCTGGCAGAGTTGTGGTGTGGCCCATAAATATGGGAGAGTCAGGCTGACAGGGGAGTAGGGTGGAAGATGGAGTGCTGAGGAGACTGTAGGTGCCTGGGAGGGGTCCCCTAGGTCTAGGAAGGGCGGCCTTCAGGCTGGCTCTGGAGGATACATTCAGCAGTGAGGCATGAATGGGATTGAGACCTGGAGTAGCAGGGTGCAAAGAGGACAGAGTGAGTACAGCAGCACACTCTGGGTTCTACAAGTGGAAAGACTGCCACACGTAGCAAGCTTTCTAAGGACAGTGCTGGGCTCAATCTTTTTTGTCCCGGGAGATCTTCCGAGAGACATCTCTACATGTAGCTACAAGAAGTAAAGTTGATTTTTGAGGGGCTGTTAGTTCCTCGCCCATAAAGAGCAGCTGCTACTACTGTTACTGCTACGACTGACGGTTTTCAGGAAAAGAACAGTCCAGGATCTGCGGTTGTACATAGGAAGGAAGTGTCCCCCTTCCATTCATTCAAGCCAAACTGGGCATCCCATAATTCCTATTTCCCTATCCAAGCTGATTTCACCTAATAAAACAACAAAACCAAACCCATGGACTGGTCATTGTCTTTGGATGCAAGTCTGTGTGAGAAATATCTGTTGCCTGGCTGTGCAGAGAGAGGCTTAGGGATACCCACTACACAGCGGCCCTCTCGAGGGTAGCGCTGCACCACTAACCACACCTAAAACACAGATCAGATGCGTTTTCATTAGGATGCTTTCACTACAGTCTGCTCTTTTCTGCTTACTGAATGATTGTTCAGGAGAGCAGTGTGCCATCACCTGACATCACCCAAACCCTGTTGGCCTTGTTAAATAATTCAGCGCAAAGACATGATAATGTACAATTGTATTAACCCAGAACATCCAATCAGATTTTACTTTGCTATTTAATCTGAGAGGGCTGAAATCTGATGAGTTACTGGATACTGTACCTTGTACGAGGGCTGCACAGAAAGGAATGCAAAAGCAGGCTTTATTTTTTTATTAACTTACATAGGTTGTTCAAATTTCATGTGTTGGTAGAGTAACACGTCTTCTTTTTCATTGAAGGTAAGTAATGGATTCCAAGCAGAAAAAACATGCTGTCACTGAGTTTTTTGACCAGAGGGGAGTAGGCTGACCGACATCCACAAAAGTCTAAAGAATGTTTATGAAGATGACACCATTGACAAGAGCAGTGTGTACAGATGTGTGAAGAAGTTTAAAGAAGGGGAAACCAGAATTAATGACAAACCACACAGTGGGAGACCATCAACTGCGACCACTGACACGAATTGTTAGCGAGTGGAGCTCAGTGACGGCACTTTACGTCTGCTTGGAATCCATTATTTACCTGAAAAAGAAATGTTACTATAGAAGTGAAGTTGCTCTACCAACATATGAAATTTGAATGGCCTATCTACATTAATAAAAAAATAAAGTTATGCCCATTTTTGCATTATTTCCAGTATAGCCCTCAAATATAGCTGGTCCTGTTGTGAGTGACATATATGATGCCATCTGTCACTAGTCTTCATGTAACATAGTTATTACCTGTTGATCCTGCCATATCCATTTATTTTCTTTAACTGGGCAACAACATGTAGCCCCAGCCAAGAAAGTTATATGCATATTAAAAAAAAAATGGTTAGAATATAATATGCCTCCTGAAATTACTAATTGCCTTCCTATTGTAGCGCTACCCTCTTGAGGGCTGCTGTGTTTCTGGATCTCTCTAAGCTTCGCACAGCCAGGCAACACGCATTTTTTACAGCTGCATCCATAGTCAGTGAACAGTCCATGAGCTTGTTATTTATTAGATATATAACTTGGATAGGGTGATAGGGGTTATGGAATGTCCAGCTTGACCGAATCATTGCAAAGGAACAACTTCCTTCCTATTTACAGTAACAGATCCTGGACTGATCCCTTCCCTGAAAGTGGCCAGTCACTACAGATCCGTAGCAACTGCCCCTAACGAGTTAGGACTCTCAGCCCCCTCTGAAAGTTATCTTAGCTTGTTGCAACTACATGCAGAGATGTCTCCTCTTCCCTGTAAAACTGCCCCCAGCTCCACAGTCTGCAGACATTACCAGCCCTCCTGGCTGCCTTGAAGATCTCCCAGGATAAGGATAAAGGATTACGCACAGCGCTGTCCTTTGAAAGCTTGCTGCATGTGGAAGTCTCTCCCCTTGTGAATCCCAGAGTGTGCTGGTGTATTCACGCTGTCCTCCTTGCTCCCACTGCTCCCAGGCCTTGATCCTGTTTATACCGTGATGGTAAATGGATCCTCCTGAGCCAGCCCGGCCTGGAGGTCAGCCCCCCTAGACCTAGGGGACCCCTCCCAGGCCACCAACAGCTTCCTCAATACTTCATCTTCCACCTGACTCCCCTGCCACCCTGATTCTCCCATAACTATGGGTTGGCCTCACCACCCTACCAGGGCCTCTAAACCTGGGATTGGTTATACCATAAACATGCAGATTAGGTCTCCACCTCTTCCACCCACTGGCTTCTGAAAGTCTCCATGGTCTTCCAGTACCAGGTGGAGGCAAGAGAGTCCCAACCTGTTAAGCCATCCAGCCTGACCTGCAGTAAACCGACCTAATTTCAGACTCACACAGTTACCATACCATATTGAGCCATACACAATAAATTTACCTACACTAACCCTAGTAGCACACTAGAGGGTGCTACACTATCATGCTAATACTTAATTACAGGGAATTCTCACCTTTCCGCAACATATCTTATTTGCAGCTTCACTTTCTGTCCTCTGCCTTTCAATAATCAGAATCTAGTTGACACCTTATAAAGTGCAATCTATGTAAACTAAAAAAACAGTCTCATTTTCTAGGTTTCTGAAAACAAGCGGCGGTATCAGAAGGATGGATTTGACTTGGATCTCACCTATGTTACAGGTATGTGTTATGGAGGAAAAGTCAAGATTTTCCTCCTGGGTAGACAATAGGTGGAAAACTTTTAACCATGGGGAGATTTACTAAAACTGATGCACTCAGAATCTAGTGCAGCTGTGCATGGTAGCCAATCAGCTTCTAACTTCAGCTTGTTCAGTTAAAGCAGAGCTGCACCGAAAAGGGAAAATTCCTCTTTACGTACTGGTCCTCCGTTCCCTGTGAGGAATTTGCACCTTTGGGGATGGGGGAGGGGGGTTTCTGGGGTGGGTGCTTACCCAATTTTGACAGGTATCTGCTCCCATTTCCTCTGCGATTGACTTGGCGATTGGAAGTGGAAGTTGTCCTCCTACCAAACCCCTTCCCCACAGTCTTCTGAGACATGAGAATAGTTCCATAGTCTTTTGGGACCTTTCACAAGGTGCAGTGCTGGTTGTGCATGTGCAGTGGGCACTAGGCTGTGAAGCCACAAGCTGTTACAGCCGGATGCCCAAACTTAAGATGCCAACACCGGTGAGCGAGGATGGCCAGTGAAACCGGCTATGGTGAGTACACCGCTGTATCATGGGACAGGTGAGTGGCTGTTTTTTAAAAGTCAGCAGCTACAGTTTTTGTAGCTGCTGACTTTTATTTTTTTTTTACCTTTTGACTGGAGCTCTGCTTTAAGCTTTGACAATAAATCCTGGAATATGATTGGTTTCTCTGCAGAGATGCACCAGATTTTGCACACTCCAGTTTTAATAATTCTCCCCCCATTGTAATAATGATAAAGAGCCTAATGATGTAGAACCCAACTTTTACTTGTATTACCTGACCTGGCAGAGGTGGCCTAAAGCTTTCTGGATTGCATGTATACGATACTGGAGGCTGCTATGGCCTTATTATATGTGTCTTATTTTATACCATATATAGATCTGATGTACCCACAAACAAGTGTTGCTATATTGAGTAAAATATGAAAACTATCTTACAAAGTATATCTGATTCAAAACTTAAGAAATTAAGATATAATCTGTTATTACAGGATATGTTGCAGTTATTTGGGTTAGGTATTGCATACGTTTTCATTGAGTATTTTGCAATTCAGATTCCAGTTGATATCAGCAATTACACTGGGCAGGACAAATTGTGTTGTACAATCACATCTAGGTTTGTCACACCATCTCTTTAGTATAAGCAGAAAGGAGTTATGTTAACAAACAACACAGACAAGCCAAGAATTGTAATTTTTTTCAGTTTATATCTTTGTTGATGAATTCTGGATCATTCCTCATGGACAGAGCGTTGGACACAAGGAAGGAACTGTTCAACAGTGGACCCGAGAACACATCTAGATATGGTTACATTAGGAGAAAAAAGTATATGAAAGTGAGCGCTCTCACAGCAGCAGCCAAAGCACCCAAGGCAATCACAGCAAACCTTCGGGCATACACAGAAAATATAAGAAGGTGCGGCGCTGATGGATATGACATAGATTCTATAAATCAATATATATCTTTAGATGATCAGAAAATGTATAATAGAAATAATGACCAATATAAACTTGAGTAAGCAATAATGTCCAGGCAAATCAACACATAGAAATAGGAAAGCCCAGGATCAAACGGTAGAATTTCGCACTCACCGGACGCGCTATATAAAAGCGCATATGTAGTGTGACCCCTGGAAATCACTCATCAGGCGGGTACAGTGGGTATCCGAGAGCAGGGGATCTTGGTAGAATGGACAGCATCCAGATCCAGAGGTCCTCTTTAAATTAGATGAGTAGTGGACGAGGAACTCCCTCCGGTGGCCAAAATAGGTATGATGTCCTACAAATGAATTAGCTCCAAGTAGGAGCCAAAGAATCTCTCATAGTGTAGTAAGTAAAACCAGGAACATTTATTCAAAAATAGTAAAATCATAAAAGACAGGGCAGAAAACACTGAATCAGTGAGTGATAATAATAGTGTGACTGACCAAGAGTAATATGGCCGCCGGGCCTCCTCGTGGCTCCGGGCGGCTAAACTGTCACGCTCTGCTGGCTCCTCCTAAGGCCTTTCGTGCTCCAGCACATCATCAGAGGGGAGGCCAACAGCAGCATGACAAACCCTCTCCCTAAATAGCGGTGTATGGCAATCACACGTGTGTGAAGCGGCAACGCCATTTTGCCGTGGTCGGCACCATTGCGCATGCGCGGCCATTTTGCCGTGGTTGGCATCACTGCGCATGCGCGCTACTCCGTGGGCGCCATTTTGCCATAGGTCTGAAATCGTATTTCAGACAGCATTCTCACCCATGGCAATACTGTGTTTCCACGGCCTACCATAGTTAATCCCAAACGATGCAGACCTTAAAATACGCTCTTTAATAATGCAAGTGGCACAACACCATCACTATAATGATGCTGTTTTAACAGCATCATTATAGTGATGGTGTTGTGCCACTTGCATTATTAAAGAGCGTATTTTAAGGTCTGCATCGTTTGGGATTAACTATGGTAGGCCGTGGAAACACAGTATTGCCATGGGTGAGAATGCTGTCTGAAATACGATTTCAGACCTATGGCAAAATGGCGCCCACGGAGTAGCGCATGCGCAGTGATGCCAACCACGGCAAAATGGCCGCGCATGCGCAATGGTGCCGACCACGGCAAAATGGCGTTGCCGCTTCACACACGTGTGATTGCCATACACCGCTATTTAGGGAGAGGGTTTGTCATGCTGCTGTTGGCCTCCCCTCTGATGATGTGCTGGAGCACGAAAGGCCTTAGGAGGAGCCAGCAGAGCGTGACAGTTTAGCCGCCCGGAGCCACGAGGAGGCCCGGCGGCCATATTACTCTTGGTCAGTCACACTATTATTATCACTCACTGATTCAGTGTTTTCTGCCCTGTCTTTTATGATTTTACTATTTTTGAATAAATGTTCCTGGTTTTACTTACTACACTATGAGAGATTCTTTGGCTCCTACTTGGAGCTAATTCATTTGTAGGACATCATACCTATTTTGGCCACCGGAGGGAGTTCCTCGTCCACTACTCATCTAATTTAAAGAGGACCTCTGGATCTGGATGCTGTCCATTCTACCAAGATCCCCTGCTCTCGGATACCCACTGTACCCGCCTGATGAGTGATTTCCAGGGGTCACACTACATATGCGCTTTTATATAGCGCGTCCGGTGAGTGCGAAATTCTACCGTTTGATCCTGGGCTTTCCTATTTCTATGTGTTGATTTGCCTGGACATTATTGCTTACTCAAGTTTATATTGGTCATTATTTCTATTATACATTTTCTGATCATCTAAAGATATATATTGATTTATAGAATCTATGTCATATCCATCAGCGCCGCACCTTCTTATATTTTCTAGATATGGTTACATTACCTAGTGACAGGCTGATCAATACAAGTTACCCATATAACACAGCAATTAAGTCAGTGGTGGTCAGCTTACTAAGTATAGATGCTGCTAGTCTCCAGAAGGCTACACATTAGCTTAATTTTTTACATATGCTGTTAGGAAGGGATGGATGGCCATTTGGAATGATGCTGTCCAAATATTTATTAACATATTAAAATAAAAACATACTACTTTTAGGCTGGATCCAGACCTTTGCGTTATGGTGATATGCATGGTATTGCTCGGTAATACACTTGGCCATTCTGAATGGCACTCCAATGCATATGTTTCATCCCACCCCAATGTACAATAACGCACTATTCATCCTATGTATTATGTGTAGAACCATTGGGAATATGATCAATAAATGTATGCTTATTTTTATATTTAACAGATCGTATTATTGCCATGTCATTCCCATCTTCTGGAAAGCAGTCATTTTACAGGAATCCTATAGAGGTAGGTGTTGTGGAAAGTCCAATGGCCAATTTTCTCACAGATTCTGATATAACTGCCACTGTTTCCCTGTAGCATGCATATAGAGTCTTCAAGCATTTTTCAAAAACTCACTTGACTGTGAGAGTGTGATTGATTGCGATGGAGCATTGTTAATTATTATTACTAATATGGCTCATATTGTTTTCAGACAAAACTTCTAATTTTGGTTAAAATTCTGTAGGCTTTTATTGCTCTGTTCTTCAGTTGGAGAGATTCACTTCCCACATGCCTACTGGGACAGGGAGGGAGGGGAATCCCTCCAATGACATATACAGCAAAAATACCCTTTATTGGTAGAATGAAGAATGATGTGAACAATAGAATGAATACAGAGCTGCATTAGGTTGTGTTTGTATATCTTCCTGAAACTTTAAATATAACAAGAAATACAGTTATATCAGTTAAAGCCCAGTTACACTCTGCAGGTATTTTTCCAGGCTCAATGACGCCCAGTACAAACCTGCTTCCTGTGAGCCCAGGGCATCAAGGCTCCATCCCACTCCCTGGACACACAGGAGAATACTGAATTTTGGGGCGTTTTTAGTTTGGTCTAGTGACACCAGTGACACCACAGGTCCTGTTCCCTCACTAATAATGTGGCATTACTGAGGCAAACCAAAAATGTCTTTTAAAAAATTATATAAATATTTTCCTTCAATGAGGAGGGGGAAGGGAAATAAAATGCCTGAACCTGCTGCACATATGCATCGCTGGGCAGTCAATGTTTTTGTGCTGAGAGCGAGCTCACTGCGGAATCCTAGCACAGACAGAGCAGTCAAAGACATTGCTTGGTTTGGACTAACTATTGATAGCTGGCAGGACCAGCTCCTGATCATGTGACCACTGTAACAGCCAATCAGAGTGGTCACATAATCATTGAGCCTTCCCACCCCCATGGCTGTTCAGAACTTTTTAAAGGGACACCAGGGCGGGTGGGAAGGGGTTAAAGAAGCGCTCCTTGCATTTTTGCTTTAAATGTATTAGCCTACATTACATTTATAAACAATATTTGTAAGTATGTCATTTATAAAACTATTACATTTGTTAAAGCTGGACTCCAGGCAGATATAAAAGACTCACGTAATACATCTCTGTATTTATTAATAAATTGTTAAATCTATTTTTCAAATGCAACAAGTATAGGTCCCAGGATTTTATTTTGTTTCAGTCTCTTGCAATCCCCTGTACAGCAGCACTCAGACTTAGAGAGGAAAGGGGAGAACTACAGGCCAATCAGGTGTGCTGCCTGTAAATGTATGGAGAAATGACACCAAAAAAGAACACCAATGTATTCCATAACTGTAAGGGGCCATGTCACAGAGCTCACCTGTTTCTGTAGAATCGTTTCCTCTCTAGCCAAGTCAGCATGTCAGTCCTTCTCTGTCCAATTGCTAGTGTGGGAGATTAGGCAGCTTTCCTGGCCAGTGGAGGACTTTCCTGGAAGAGTCTGCTTTTGGGGATGAGTTGCCAGCAGTAGAATCATCCACGTGACATAGCCCTATGTGGTGTCATTCATCTGGCCGTGATGGGTGGTGAGGCTGTGCAAATCACTGAACTAGAAGGTCAGAAATACAAATCATTTAGCAAGTTAAACAGTTCACAAAAATGTATTTCATGTGGCCGTTTGCCTGGAATTCAGCTTTAACATATCAGGAATCATATAAAAACATATCCTTGTTGTATAATGTCTTGCTTTCTGGAAGAGTCATCATATCTACTTGAGCTGTATAGAGGAAAGGAGAGAGTATTTTATGGTAATTTATTATTACTCTTTTATTTTTTGCTGTAATATGTCATTTTAAGACATTCAAGAGTAACAAGCCTACAGATGGCTATACTGGGTATTTTGTTGGTTATAATAATGATTTTAGTAGCTGCTTATGATATTTACCCAGAGAAAGCAGCTTGGACAGTGGTGACAGAGTGGAGTGGCAGTACCATCTACCGATCATAGTGCAGAGACCGTCACTTTCACACTTTGTCGATAAATACATTAATTATGATATGCCATCTTAGCTTCTTTCTGACACTCAAATGAATATGTTTGTGTTTATCCATATATTATTATTGTAATTTTTTTTTTTTTTTGCTTTATTTAAAGGATGTTGCTAGATTTTTGGATTCTAAGCATAAAGATCACTACAAGGTGTACAATCTGTGCAGTAAGTATATAGAAACTTCTTACATTAGCATGCTTTTCAGGCAGTCTGTTTTGACAACTGTGTATTTTCCTTAGGCCTCATGCACACAGGGCGTTTTTGCAGCTACTGGGTGTTGGCCATTTTGTTTTTTACATATCCATGCACACAGACGTTTAGAAGCTTTTAGTGGCAGGGGCTTTTAGGAGCTGTAAAAAAAACCCACTGCCAGTGCATCCAGGAGCTGAAGCGTTTTTTTGGCAGAAAAAATGCTTGACGCATCTAAACACGCCTAAATACGTGTTAACACTAGCCACGTTTAGCACTTGAGCGTTAATTTCAATGCCCAGAGTAAATTATTTTCGCAAATGAAATGAATTAATACCCAAGCTCTAGACCCCTTATACCAGTCATTCCACTTAGCACTTTCTTCTTTGGATGTTTTTCCACTTTGGTATTTGTTACATAGTGATTGTGGATATTCGTTATAGTTTGAGTATATTGGATTCGCACCTATAACCACTTACCAACTTACCACAGAACTATTTTTTGTATATATACTTTGAAATGAACAGATGATAAACCTTACACATGCACACTGGTATCCACTTATTAAAAAAACTAATTTCAGAAAGCCGAATTTATAATTAAACTGACCACCTAAAATCCGATGTCAGAGACAACAACAATCTCCATGAAAATCCTTGCTGTTCTTTGGGTCATTTAGGCTCTAAAGATCAGTAAAGACAGAAACATTCACACACATGCAATATCCGAGAGTGGCTCCCCTTCCCTCTATGTATGTCACTGGAGGCAGATCTGTGTCATACAAAACTAGACAGACCATAATAGCCTATGGCTCTCTGCTGACCTAAATCTCCCTTTCACCCAGAATGTTGTTGAGCATATAACACATGAATAATACATGGTGCCAATAGGTAATATTGGATCTGCCAGAACATACAGTACATAACTTCCATGACTCATAAGGCAAAACAACTCATTATCCAGGTGTTCAGTTTGCATCATGAGGACCTGGCAGATCAAAGTAGGTATAAAAATATTCACAACAAAATCATTTCACATATACTGTGTACCAAGTGTAGTCACGCAGAGCCAGGTTGCATTTTTGGCTGTATCAGAATGTAGCGTACCCCCCAGGGGCGGACTGACTATTTGGAAATTCGGGCACTGCCCGAGGGCCCGGGGTCAGTAGGGGGCCCCATGAGATGCCCCTGGTACCTTTTTCATAGGCTTTTTTGAGTTTGGGCAAGGACACAGGGGCCCCATGATCCCCTATTGCCCGGGGGCCCCATGAGTTGTCAGTCCGCCCCTGGTTACCCCCTAAGGAGCCACTTGTGAGCTTAGTTCCTTTACTCCAGTTTAAGTGCACACAGCTGGGTGCACAGCATTTTTTCTGATCTTTCACTGCCTCAAATGAACAGTCTAGGTGTCTTTTTTTGGGTTTTATTGTACCTGTGAACTTGGATGGGGTGAAGGGAGCATGGAATATCCTCAAAACTGGTAAACTGAGCAACTTGAGGACTCCTCTATTTTGCTGAGCTGCACAAAAATGTCCTACTGAATCTCTAATACTGACAACAACTATGACTTCTCCCAGAAGACCAAAAGCTACACACAGTCACTAACTTTCCAGCACTTGGGTTGTCTATTCACACTGCCACAGGATCATCGGTTGCTTTCTGCTGATATTCACCAGGCACTCTCCAGTAAGGGAGACAGACTCACTCCACCATAGCCAAGATCTGCAAATTCTACCAACTTCTTCCTGGCATTTTCCAGTGGCTTCTCTAGACCCAAAGCAATTTCAGGACTAGACTTGGCAAAAGCTCCAGCTGGGACCTTGATCTTTTCTAGATTGAACCTCCAATAATCATGCCCGGGGGTCTCCTCCAGCAGGACTGGACCAGGAACTCTGCTGCTCTTGTCTCAGGCCTCAGATTATTTATGGGCTCTATAACTACCTACTAGGTACACCTTCCCAGGGATTGGCTAGAGCTCCATAAATATTCTGACTGCTTACTCTGTTTTTCCTCTCGCTGTTATTCTAAAATCCTCCAGAATACAGGGGGAATCACTCAGCACAGCAGCCTGTGAGACACTGGGAAGGCCTAAACAATCAACCAGCTGCTCCACTGATTACAGAGGAGCCAACTACATTTACATAACAACCTACACTACTCTAGGAGGGTACTGAATTAAGTTTTAAAAAAGACACTGTTACCTCTCCTTTTGCAAGTGAGAGTGTCCTACCTGGGGAAGCAGTGATGTCAATTGGCTGCTAGACCCAAGCACTGTCACAGAGGAGTGGGCCAAGGGCCAAGAAAGAACAGCTAAGTTGACTATAATGGAGTTGGAGATGCCCTTTGTAGAGAGTCTGCCAATTTGCCCCTCATGGGCATGTTGCCAGTGCCTCTTATTGGACACATGTTTAACTGCAAACAGATGCTGTATTGGTAGCTGTGACAGTAGCACAGATATTTCTTGGTACTGATACTTGATAATTATAGGGAACACTATCTTCTCACAACATTAAAGTCCTTCCTGTAAAGTGGACCTGTTAGTTTGTCTGGTATGGGTGCAACAATTAGTAACATAATGTAAATCCTTTCTTACAGGTGAAAAGGGATATGATCCCAAATACTTCCATTACAGAGTGGAGCGAGTGTTCATAGATGATCACAATGTCCCAGTTCTGGCGTAAGTACCTCAGTCTATAGCAGTGCTCCTCATCCAGTGGCTCATAAGTGTTAAGTTCTTATCTCCTTTCAGTGTTGCTTGTGACAGCCTCTCAAAAATGTATTTGTATTAGTCCAAATATCTGCAAAATGGCCTTACAGTGCTAGGTTCCTTCTACAATCCAAGAACATACTGGTGGTTTTGGATCAAATTGACCCTAGGGTCTGTATAACTGTAATAGGGATATTAAAATGTAGGCTAATATGGCAGAGTGGTTGATGCATTTAGACTTCTGCCACACTGAATCCGACTCTGAAATCTTGCAACTTCATTTAAAGTTGCATGATTCCAAAGTCGGATATAGTGAGACTTCAGGTGCGACTTGCAAGATATCTGTGCGAATTCATGCACAGATGTCTATTCAAGTCGCACCTGAACTTAGTGTATACACTACTTTCAAAACCAGTGCAACTCTGACAGATCGCACTGATATCACCGCTTCCATTGCGGACAATAGGGCGTGACTTGTCATGCAATTTGAAGGTATCAGATTCCATGACCAGTCACACCAGTTTGACCGGGGACTTATTCCTGTATTCATTGTAAAGCATTTCATGAAATCATAATGGTGCTAAAAATATATATATATAAATCTATTGGCGTAGCGCTACTACATAATAATTCATATAACCACATATAATAATAAACAAAAGTGAAAGAAAATCATAAACTGTGACACATATAAAGTGATCTGATCCTCTCTGGGATCTTACAAGTGACAAGAAGACGTGAAAAACACGTGGCCCTAATTGGACCCAATTTGGTGATCACACACAATAAAAATTAACAAACAACCCAAATCCCTAATTGGTAACAGTGTCTAAAAATCAGCCTAACTGAAAACCAAAACAAACCAAGTGACACATGAAAAGTGAATCCCTAAAAAAGGGATATAACTCCTAAATAAAGTGACTCATGCTCAGTGGGACTTCACAAAGAACTCCAAATATATAAAATAAATATAAGAAAAAACAAACATCACCCCCAATTAGTAACACATAAAGATAATCCAAAATAATTGTATAGTGAAATATACATATTAGGTAAGAAAAAATCAGATGGCTTCCACGCCAGAAATACGTCACCACATTCCTACGCATTGCGTCACTTTTCATGTGTCACTTGGTTTGTTTTGGTTTTCAGTTAGGCTGATTTTTAGCCACTGATCCCAATTAGGGATTTGGGTTGTTTGTTCATTTTTATTTTGTGTTCACCAAATTGGGTCCAATTAGGACTACGTGTTTTTCACGTTTTCTTGTCACTTGTAAGATCCCAGAGAGTATCAGATCACTTTATATGTGTCACAGTTTATGATTTTTTTTCACATTTTTTTATTATTGTATTATCATATGTGCTTATATGAATTATTATGTAGTAGCGCTACACCAATAGATTTATACATATATTTTTAGCACCATTTTCACCTATAGGTATAGGGTTGGGTGTTAGCAGCTTTGTAGTTATTATTTATATATTTTTACTTAAAAGCGCAGGAAGATAAATCATCATTATGAAATCACAATGCCTTATAAATGTTATTTTTACTCTTCAGGGACATGCTTACGTTTACAGCCAATGTACGTTCCTGGATGGCAGAAGATCCCAAAAATGTGATTGCCATTCACTGTAAAGGGGGCAAAGGTATGAAGATTTGGTCCTATAGTTAGCTGCAATGGGAAGAAGGAACAATAGCAAATATGATTATGTTTGACTACTACTTTATTATATTGTACAGTTAACATTTGTTATATATTTTGCGGTTTAGGCAGAACTGGAACTATGGTTTGCACCTATCTTGTGGACTGTGACCAGTTTGAGAGTGCAAAGGTAATGGTCTTTTGTGTAAATGATTGGACTGATGAAGTAAAAGTATAACCCTTAGCTAAAATATAACAATGGCAGATACACTCCATTGCTTACATGTAGTTAATGTCTACATAAAAGACTCTTGTAGCCTTATTTAGTAACGATTTGCAAAGTGATTGCTAATACTTCGGCAGAATTATAAACACATGCCTTAACACGTGCCTTGGCCAATCCAAACTTTTTTATTTTCAGACTGGGACTGCATAAATGATAGTTGAAACCTGATTACTTGGTAAGGGTGTCACTGTAAGGAAATGTTTTCTATAGAAAATTAATTATGTGGTTCATCGGTCCTTTTGCGCATATTGGCAAATAGGCACATGCTGGTCTTTTCCTACCCATCTTGCTGTTATAGTGCTAGCTATGCAAGACCAATAGCTATTGTGCCACCTAAAATGATAGCCCTTAAAGTTGAAGTTTAGGTACAATTTTATAGAATAGTTACAATGGTCCAACTTGGACCAAACATATATCTCACACTTGTCTGATCCCTGTGTAAACTGCAGATCACTGTAGTAGTCACCACTACTACAGTGATAGCAGCAGTCCTCTGGGCCTAGTGCCGAGACAAATAGCCGCCTTGGCACTGCTGCCTTTCGGAGAAACCTTGTATTTTTTCAATCAATACAAGTTGCTCTCTGATTGGACAAGGTGGAGATCATGACGTCACTGCCCTGCCTCTCCACCTCGTCCAAGAGAATTCTTTTCAGTTACAGTAGTAGAATAGATCCTGCAATTCAACAGCCTCAGTAGCCTGATTTAGCAAATGAACAATACGAAAGATAACACAAAGTTTTACAAGCTCAGAGAGAGGGATGGAAAGGCAGAAAATGGAGGCTGTAGAAAAGAGGAAAAAGTAGGATGACAGGCATGAGTGTGCTGCATCTCCTTTAATTGTCCACTCACAGGGTTGGGAGAAGACCTGTAAGTGAAAGTGAGAATGCATCAGAGAAGGATCAGGTCCCCTCCCATGCCAGACAGAGCTGTGCTGTGTGTTAGAACTGTGTAAATTGCAGGACTAGATGAAGGGAATTAAAAATCCTTTGGCAGGTAAAACAGCTCTCATATGTACAGTATATTTCATGTGTGTAAATGAGCTGTTAGCTAGAATGCATTAATCGCTCAAAGTATGTGTTTCCTAGAAATACACTGTACTTACCCTTTTTTAATTCAAACATTCTGAAACTGCAAGTTATAAATAATGCAAGCATGCTTGCAATACTAAGGAGGGTCCAGTTATATAAAAAAAAATCACTGTGGAAATGGCTTGCGTATTTGCACACCCATCATGAATAATCCCCATAATTTGCTTAATATATTTGTTTTCCATGATCCATCTAGTGACCATAATTCGCTATTCTCCTGATTGTGGTATTTCAAGAAAATACTGCATTATGGCCACTGGATGGAGCTGATGATCATACACACTGGCTGCATCCAGGACTTGTCAGATGAATGGTTACATGCAAACTGATTCTTGCCGTCCAAGGCCACTGCTAAACTGTTGTATGAATGTAGTCTTATCTAATGACTGTGCTGCGTGTTGGTAAGGTGCAGCGTGATGTAGCGGCACTAATGACATTGAGGTGCAGGATGCAGAAAGGAATGTATTGAAGAACTGGCAGAACAGTCACAACAACCTGGCAGGGAGAACGCCCTCCAGGGAACTCGCAGTCAATGCAGTGGAAAATCAGTGGTAGTAGGCCTGAGCTGAAGACAGCGCCTGCCGAGGGAGGTGGAGAGAAGCATGGCAGGTCCAACACAAGAGGGAGTTTGCAGAAGTGTAGGTGTAGGCCCTATGCTTTTCCTACCCCTCCAGAACCCCTCTCTAGTGCTGTCCCTGACAGGCGGTTGAACTCTCCCTACACTAGCGACTTCACAAATTCCAAAACCTGGGGGCAGGGACTTAAAAAGACTTTGCTTGACCCAAGATGGCCCCCAGAGTCACCTGAATGCACCATAGCCAACCAGAACACTGCTTCAGGGTACTGAGGAAACCATAGAGAAACAGTTTCTCTTGACTTCTTTTCCAGCCACAGTACCACTCTGGTTGAGCGCCACCTACATTGGATACAACAGACTGCACCTGCTTACATGTGTCTGCACACATATTTGGAGCTGAATATTGCCTACCTTGGGTGCACCTGACAGTGCAATTCATTGGACCTAAAAAATGTGTTAAATAAAGGAGTAACGAGTCCTGTCTTGAATTGATTTTCTATAGGAAAGTCTGGACTATTTTGGTGAACGCAGGACGGATACATCTGTCAGCACCAAGTTTCAAGGCGTAGAAACACCCTCACAGGTTAGTCCTGTCTTGTAACTGATTCATCTCCAAGTTAAGAGCAGTCACATGACATTGGGAAATAAGCTGCTTAGTAAAGGTAATGTGTCACTAAATAGTTTCCTGTTAATAACTATATTAAATTGGACAAATTTAATTCTTTTAAAGTGGAACAAAGCCCTCATATCCTTTACAGCCATGGAAGTTCCCATGGTGCTGCACATGTCAGCAGCTATGGCAACAGCCATTTATTTGCTTTACAGTTCTGCTGAGAGCTAACGTAAGCACACTAGTAATCGTAAGGGTGGCCATACATACTTCGATAAATGATCATTTTCTTTTCTGATTGATCTCTTCAGAAATAATTAATCTAGAGTCAAAAACTGATTCAATCCTTATGCCACACACAGAGAAGTGGTTTTTGAACAATAGTTCAATGCAATGCTAACCTATGATTATAAATTATCTATGGCATCTCTGTTTTCACCATGTAATCTCATAATCTGCTCAACAGAAAGATTATCATATTCATGAGAAAAGTATCTCAGTGCTGTCAATGGAGGCAAAATGTTCAATAATTTGGTACCCTGGCCGATCAACTCAGTTTGCTTAAATCCAATCTAAATCAAGTATTATTCAATTGGAAGGGAAGATATAGCTATCTGATTGTTTGCGAATGTGATCATTTTAATCAAATCAAGCAAAAAAAAAAAAATGCGTGTGACCATGATGAAGCCATGAGAGATATGGCGAATTATTTTGGCTGGTTAGGATAGCTTTTTTTTGTTTTTTTCGCTTTTTCCAACCTTTATATTTTGGAAGGTGAATCACTGGCAGCTCTGAGTGGTTTGATTCTTCTAGAGGATTTAAGAAAAGATATAAAGTTGAGATTTGGGGAACCATTAGACTAGGTTCATACTATTGCAAGTGGTTGCGGGAATCACACCTGGTCCCCCACCCGCAGCCATGCAGGGTTGCCATTAATTCTTAATGGCACCCCTACACACCTAAAGCCACACCTTGATGCAAAGGCCAGCTATAGGTTGGGGCAGTTGCTGTTTGTTTGTACTGCGGGAACCTCACATGGTGCATTTCCCTGCTGCTGTATTTTATAAAAGATACAGGATTTTTTTTCCTCCATGAAATGCAGGCACAGCAGCCTATTCAAATGAACAGGCTGATGTTCCCCCGCAAATGCGGCTCGCAGAACCGCAATAGTGTGAACCAAGCCTTAATTAGAGAGAAGGTGAAGTTATGTTTGAGGAAGAGACACTTTCAAAGGGACTTGGTAGGAAATTTTTAGATGAAATACTGTATTCCATATAGGTGGTAAGGAATAACAGACATGATAGCATTAGTAGGCTATATTGGCCGATTTTTATCAGTTGTGCTATACCTTCCATAAATAGAAATGTTGGATATTAAGTACTTTAATTGAGTATAATTGAATACTAAATTTATCTAGTAGACATAGGGGCCTTTTTTTATTCTGGTTCTTTTTTTTTTAACTTGCCACCATAACAGTTATCATTCAAGGCATGTCTTGAATGTAAATTTTTCAGGGAACGGTTAAATTGGTCTGTGAGATGATCTCTTGAATAATTACAGACCTGGCCACGGAGATTACTCATTAGAATCCCCTGCATTGCATTCTGCTCCAGCTGCAGTCTCCTCCTTTTTGTTAGAGCTGAATGGGGGCAAGACAATTAAGAATTTTGCATAGAAGATGCCAAAACTCCATGATTTGGTACACCAGTAACATAAAAATAATGGGACTTACAAAAAAAAAATCAGATTCTATGTTCTCTAGCCAATATGAAGATAATTTCATCCCAATTGTTCATTCTGAATAATGCCAGTACTTTACAGAGTGTTGAAAGGATGGAAGTGCCACACTAGTTTGTGCAGTTCTTTGAACGATTTTATTTTGTAACAACCAACGCGTTTCGGAGGCTTAGCACTCTCCTTTTATCGGGGCTAAAAGCTAGATAATAAATAAAATATACAAATTCCTTAAAATGTGTTAAACACTAGATATAAAAGTATGAAAGTATAAGTAGCTCAAAATATTTTAAAGGACTGTACAAACTAGTGCAGCAATCCATCCTTTGGACACTTTAGGGTGGGGCCTACTCATTCTGCATGGGGACCCTCTGAAGGCATTCACTAATGCCCGGAAACCAGGCAGAGGCTGTTCATATGCAAAGATCAGCATTACAGCAGCACTTTGTACTTAGCCATGAGGCGTTTACCTTGCACAGATACACATTAAACTTGAGGCTTTTTACTGTGAGACACTGTTCCCGTGACTCTCTGCACCTTCTCCTACTGAATGCAGCATTATGAGGGGGACATCTCCAAGCCTGTGTCCAGCTCCACCAGCTCAGCTTTAATTGCCACCTCATTCCCAGTGACAATGTGAAGGTCTCTCCATATACAAAGCGCGGACCTCTGCTTGTAGAACATGTTAACTCTTGACTCTCTCCAGTACCTCCAGCTAGGTTCATAGGTTATCTGTGCCGTGGGTTCGATCCCGGATACACTAGGTGCACCAACCGCTAGGGAGGGACACAGATCACCAACTCTCTCACTAACCACAGGACATAGTTACCCGTGCCTGGCACCACTTTCCCGCTGGCTGCTTGATACAGCAATCTCACCAGTCCTGGTTACACATGACAATGGCCTGATGGCAACTTCCTCCTCCACTCCTCTTAACCCTCTCCATGGTGGCTCTGTATCTTCTCTTCATCCCCTTGTGTTAAAGACCAGGTTCTTCTGATATGCCATATACCTTAATGCACCCCTTTGGATAGACTTCAGCCCAGGTATTTAACAGGTAACAGAAACTTTAATGAAGCTTCACACAAGTACAGTTCCACATAGTACACTCCTCACACTATCTAATTCAAGCTGCCCATATCATACCTTCTGAGAAAGCAAGGACCAGTAAGCATAAGTCCATTTCTGGTGGAATCCTTTCCCTGGGAGAATTCCAACTGGGTGACCCAATAGGGGGCCACATGCTCCAACAGAACTACACGGTGAAGCAAACCTTCCCCTCCATTCCCATGTGAGTGCTCCAGAACCAATGCCGGCCCCATCTATTCACCTCCCCTTGTATTTATGGACCCGCAGCAAAGGGCAGGACCATGACCATCTGGAAGAAATGGAAAATAATCTTAACCCCTTTCTAGCTCTCTTGGCAGCCTGCACACTTACTACAGCAGCACAGTTTAACGAAGAAACAAAAAACAAAAATGCAGACCTTGTAAGCACCTGTTTACAAATTCCAGCAGGACACCATGGTTGCTGGTGAGCAGTATCTAGGACTGCACACCACCCATTATGATGTAACAAATCACTATAAGGTTCAGCGCTCTTGCATCACAAAAAGGTAGTACTTTACATAGGGCACTAATCCATTACATTATTCCTTGCCCACAAAAAAGCCTAAAGTTGAATATCCCTTTGACAAAAGCGCTTTCTAATCACTTATTGGCCTACTGGCATATTTTTATCTAGAGACCTGAGCATCTAGAGATGGCCATCAGTTGTCCGATGGGTATTGGACCCAGGCCCCAAGCACTGCAAAGTTGCGCTTCTTACCTCTGGAAAGGTATAATGATGTTATATGTGTATGTGTTTATTTGCAGAGTAGATATGTGGGTTACTATGAAATTCTGAAGAACAAGTACTCATTACAGCTCCCTCCAGAGAAAAAGCTCAGAATTCGAAGTATTCGAATCCATTCAATCGAAGGTAATTCAAGCACGCACTGTATACTCAGAATGTAGTAATTATTAGGTCACTTTCTAATAATACACTGGAGACATGAGCCCAAAAGCTCAACATTGGTCAGAACATTAATTTCATTTAGAATAAAGTAGAGAATGGTTAGAAACATAAAAAAAAATTATTTTATCTACCTGTTCCGTCTGATACCAATGTCTTGGCAAGAAAGTAAAGGTAAAAGCATGACAGAGGTTCTAATCCTTCATTAACTGTGCTAGCAAAATCTTTTTTTATTGCTGCATGTCACCAGATGGGCAATTTCCCGTGTTATCTAATCTACATTGGAGCATAGGTCAGTAGCCTAAGGAATATAGTTGAGGCCTACAAAATGGTTAAAAAAATATTGGCTAGAACAGGGGTAGGCAACCTCTGAGAGGAGGAGATCTACCAGGACAGCATGAAAGATCAAAGATCCCCTGGGTACAGCAGCAAATTAACTATCAAGCCCTCAATAAAAAAAAGATGACATGAGGAACACATAGTGTATCACACTAGTGTCCTCTGCTCCCCTTCACATCATCGTCAATATCACCCCCCCCCCCCCCCCCCCCCCACACACACACAGTAGTGTTCAACACCCCCCATGGCAGTGTCCTCTGCCCCCCTCCCCCATAGCAGTGTCCTTTGCTCCCCATAGCAGTTTCCTCTGCCACTTCACATAAACCCCCCCAACACACACACACACAGCAGTGGCCTAGATCCTAGCTTCACTTTCCACTCTCCTACCTTGCACAGGTGTACAGCAGAACAGAGAGCAGGAGGCAGCATGGTTCTGGACAGAGGGCGGGAGCTGCTAAAGTTAACTTTTAACATTAAAAAGCTGGTCATTATTATTATTATTATTATACAGGATTTATATAGCGCCAATAGTTTGCTCAGCGCTTTACAATATAAGGGAGACAATACAGCAACAATACAGTTCAATACAAGAGGGATAGGAGGGCCCTGCTCCTTGGAGCTTACAATCTAGGAGGGAGGGGCTAGTGGTACAAAAGGTAATAACTGTGGGGGGATGGACTGGTAGGAAGAGTAGAAGATTCCATTATTAGCTGAGGGCAGAATAGGCTTCCCTGAAGTAAAAGGTTTTCAGAGATCACCTAAAAGTGAGCAGAGTAGGCGATAGTCTGATAAATTTGGGTAGAGACTTCCAGAGGATGGAGGAAGCTCTGGAGAAGTCCTGGAGATGAGCATGGGAGGAGGAGACAAGGGAGCTAGAGAGCAGGAGGTCTTTTGAGGAGCGGAGAGTATGGTTTGGGTGATATTTAGAGACAAGATCGGGGATGTAATTTGGAGCAGAGTTATAAATGGCTTTATACATTATTGTTAATGTTTTGAATTTTATCCGTTGGGCAATGGGAAGCCAGTGGAGGAATTGGCAGAGAGGGTTGGCAGATACAGAATTGTTAGTAAGGTGGATGAGTCTGGCAGCTGCAGGGGCGGACTGACAACTCATGGGGCCCCCAAGCAATAGGGGATCATGGGGCCCCTGTGTCCTATGAAAAAGGTACCAGGGGCATCTCATGGGGCCCCCTACTGACCCCGGGCCCTCGGGCAGTGCCCGAGTTTCCAAATGGTCAGTCCGCCCCTGGGCAGCAGCATTCATGATAGACTGAAGAGGGGATAGCCTGCGATGAGGTAGACCAATGAGGAGGGAGTTACAATAGTCAAGGCGAGAGATAACAAGGGAGTGAATAAGTTGCTTAGTGGTTTCCGAGGTTAAGAACGGCCATATCTTGGAGATGTTACGGAGGTGAAGTCTACAAGATTTGGACAGTGATTGGAATTGGGGCTGAAAGGACAGATGGGAGTCTAGGATTACACCTAGCACCCTGGCATGAGGGGAGGGACTGACGATTGTCTTATTGATTTTGATAGAGAAGTTAGGGGAGGGGGCACGGGCTGGGGGGAATACTAAGAGCTCAGTTTTGGACTAAGAGCTTTTGGACGAAGTCATTTGTTGCTAGGACTGCCCTAGGTCCAAGCAACTAATCATCTGCTGGTTGCTAGGGAGGATGTGCAGCCATTGGATGTTTGTTTGTATACTGGAGTCTGCTGTGGACAGAGCAAGCACCTGGGATTTAGTGTGTGTATGGTAGTGGAAGAGGGAACTGACCCAGAGCTGTTTTTTTTTTTTTTTTTCATCTGCTGGCTAGCTTGAAAGATTAATGGGGCAGCTCTCGCCCTCCATTCACAACTGTGCTTCCCCCGCTCTCTGCTCTGCTGTGAGGATGTGAGTTGTGGAGGCTGGCGGGAAGACCCGGCACCTACAGTAAGTGGCACAACCATGGTGATCCAGGCGGGACAGTGACATACCGCGGTCCACCATTTAGTGATTCCTGATCTAGAGGGTCGGCAAAGCAGAGACATGTTTGCGATCTACACGTCACCTTCCTTCAGTCGACAGGTAGATCACGATCAACAGGTCGCCAACCCCTGGGCTAGAATATTCAGCATGGCTACTTAAAACACCAGGTGGTGGAGCAGATGCAATAGCAACAACTCACAGTTCATGTTTAGCAGGGTAAAGTGGACAAACTAATGAAAAATACGCTTTGATTGTTGTCTGGGCATTATGCACTCCAGTATATAGAATATTTTCATAACATAGCCCTATTATAAAGCTGCCCATGAACAGCCTTTCAAACAAATGTCAGTTTAGAACCCATTCTTTGATGAAAAATTATGTTTTAGAATGAAGGTTTGAATTTGAATCTGACCCATGCTACCAGACAGTTGTTATAGCCCAACTTTAGCCAAAACTCAATTTTGGATAAAGAGGGGAAGGATTAAAACCTCTGTCTGGTTGTTAGAATTGCCTGTGCCCCAATTGGGGAGATTTTACATCACTTCTTTTCCCAGTAACAGAGGGTCGAAGGGAGAGAAAGTGATGAGATACTGTATCTCTCCAATGGGAATTGAGGCAGCAATAAAAATAATTTTTAGTTGCATTAGTAAAGTTTAGATCTTCTGTGAGGTGTTTATTATTGTCTATGCCTTCCTGTCTTAGTGACTCCTTACCCTCATTTGCTGTCCTGGAGTCCCAAGAAAAAAAAGCGAGGGAAATGCCCCCAATGGAGTCACAGACGACAGTATAAACTAGAGATAAGTTTTGAATCCTTTCCTACTTTATTAAAAAATATTTTGAGTTAAGTTGGGCTTTAAACATCTCACTAGTGTAGGAGAAAAAATAGAGCAGAAACCACAGGTATCTGCAGTATGTTCTAGCTGTGGTAACAGAAGTTGTATTTCTTTTTACAGTATGTAGAATTATGCAACATCTCTTGAGCAGCCAACCCAGCCAATTCATCGTCAGTGAAGGACTGTGTTTCTGTTTATTATCGCACAGACTTTCCGAAATGGAAGATTTAATTGGGACTTATAGCAGATTGAGAATTAGGTGTAACAGTTTCACCATGTAGGGTATCTAACACCTGGCCAACTTGGGAAGAAAATTACGGACAGTCTTGATTGCGTGTAGCTTAATCAATCAAGGTGGGGCAGATGTCTCTCTTGGTGAGGCATCTACCTATTGTGAGACACTGGCTGACAGGATTGTGGATGGTATATACAGGAACATGTTACCTAGGTTTCTCACCTATACACAGCGAGAAACTCCAGGGTTTGTGTCTGTTATGAAGAAACAAGTTTGTTGTATTCTCAGATCATAAAGAAGAATTTCAAGTATGGATATCAGGGATGTGCAATTTATATCGCCCGATGCCTGGGACATGCATTTTCGGCGTCCGAACGTGACATTTTTTTGTAAAATTTAGCCCTGCTGTGGGCAAGCAGTAGGGCTTACTTGTCACATGAAAGCATTTGGGCGGCTGTGCTGCTACCCACAAACTTCCACACTCCCTTGTAAAGTGGCCCTCCTGCTATGTATCCTGGGCTCCTCTTGCCCATCTGTGGGCCCAGAACTGATATAGTGGGTGCTGCCAAGTAAATGGGGGGAAGAGAGCAGACTCATGTCTGCTCTCCCAATCTTGTTCCTGACCCAGAAGTGGCAAGTATGATGTCACCTCTGGGTCCATGTTGTTAGTGTCTCCGGCCATCGAGGATCTGCACTGCACTGCATTACTTTGAGTGGAGCACAGAGGAAACCTGCAGGGTCTTTTAGACCCTGGATGTCTCATCAAAGAGAACCTGTCACCAAAACATCATCACATAGGAGACTTTTTGGGCACCCCTACTACAGTGATCCCCACTAGTTTCTGGGTTCTATGCCAAGTGGCTACCCTTCTGCATACTTGGAACAAGGAGTCAGCCACTGGGCACGAGCGTTATGCAAATAATGCTTTGTATTTTCTCAATGAATGAAAAGCATTCTCCATTTGAACAAGGTGGAGAGTGTGACATGCCTCTCAACCTCATTCAATCAGAGAAAACAATCTCTGAATGGGCCCATGCCAAGTGACAACCTTCTGTCTTTAGAATGCAGCAGGACAGCTGATTGGCACAGGACCTGGAAGCTAGAGGAGATCACTGGACTTGAGGTGTCTACTTCAGTGATTTCCAGGTATGGTATATGTATAGTTACATTTGTCCAACCTATACGAATGTGAAAATATCCATATTTGGAATTCTTCTTTAGATGGTCCTGGTCTATCTCCTGGAGCCCAGATGCTTTGTAGAACTTTGGGTAGGATAAAGTTTTCAGTTCTAGGTTTACATTTTACCTGTTAGCTAGGCCTCATTAATTAGTGTTCACAGGCCTTCATATTTGAACTGACATATGCTCTTACTTTCCCTGCTGAGAGTTCCTAATGCTGAGTGAAAAGGATGACTGGCGACAGTTTGCTAAAAAGGGATGTGTGCCGCCTGTTTGCTTTGCTTTGGGGAACTCATTAGATGGCACCCTGTTATTCAGTAACTGACATAAGTTTAGTTAGTGGCTCGGATGTTTTGTATGTTTTATGCTGTGGATGCTGCACAAAGCTCTCCTTCATGAAATTTGTGTTTTTTGTATGGCCCTGCTGAAAAAAAGTGAAGGATAACCCCACTTGGACTGTTTCTGGGTGCCCCTGTCTCATGCATGGTTTGCCACTCCCAGTTGAACCTGTCCCCATTACACTATGTACAACTATCTTAAAATATATGTGACCCCAATCAATACAATCTCTAATAATTGAAACACATTATGTAGTTTCAAAAGTAGTTTTTAAAATCTGTTGGTTTTATCCAAAGAATATCTGGTGATCAGTCATGAAGACCCTTATTCAGGCACTTCCTGTTATAAGAAGTGAACACTCCCATTTCCATCTACCAATTGTGCTCCTGCATTGTTCTTCCAATGGAGAACACATCTCAGGCATGGTCTATTGTTTTCACCATCAGGAAAACAACCTTGAGATTTTTTTAAAAATTGCAGTTGTTCATGATACACAATGCTTTAGCAAGCTAAAGGTGGCTATACACTATACAATCTGATTGTACAATCTCTGTATAATCACCTTTAGATTTCCCAAAACTATATAATAGGAGGACACACCATCTATCCAATCACTCTGTATCCAATTAAGCAGGCCCTTGCACTACATAGTAGATCTAAAGGAGATTGCACATTCAGATTAGTGTACAGTGGACTTAAGTGTCAATAAGTTAAAGTTTAGCTTTACTGAGCCCCTCTCCAGCGGCTATGTTTTCCTTCATAGAGAAGCATAGATGTTCCATCATCAGGAATATGCAATGGTATAATCATTCAATTTTGTTGAATATTTCATAATACACAGGAGTAGGAAGAAGCAATGGAAGTGACATGAAGGTCCAGATAATAATCAAGAAACAAGTGATATTCCAGTGTGTCTGTGAGACTCAAGAAAACTGTAAGGTACAGTATGCCAGTTAACACAAAAGAACAATGGGACTTTCAGGTGCTACATATGACCATATAAACCAATATATAAATATTGGTTCAGACCCTGAAGGGCACCCCTGGGTCCGATTGATGGTCCCCACAAGGACAAATAGATATCTGTCTTAGAAAGAATATACATGGCCAAACTCAAATCTGGTGAACTAACAGCGGACCCCTTCCCCATCCCCTGGTGCTCTCAGTAGTTTGCTTTCTTCCTTTCCATCCAGCAATGCCAGGATAGACCAGACGGATTTAATTGGTCAGCACTGTCACAAGGCGTTATTTCGTACTGGAAGAAATACACAATGGACATAAAGATCCAAGTCGTAATATATATGGCTCTTGTATTTAGACAATATCTTTTAGCCTAGAGCTCAGTTTTGGGGTCACTGATAGCTTCACTGGAGCCATGCTCAGGTTTGAGTGCAGAACAGATGCCACTGTCCCTAGTAATCTTAGACCATAAGCAAAGGTCTGTTTGGCTTACCTGGTGAGGTATAATCTGTGGAAGTAGTAGGTGAACAACAAGCTAAACTCTGCTAGAAGACCATATTTCTTTATAATTATAAAGTATAGATTGTACACTGCACTACATGCACTTGAACAACTTCTTTTCCTACAGTTGTTTTTTGATCCTGGGAATAATTTATCAGTCATCAGCTTGGATGGTTGTCCGGTTATTTCTGGAGATGTAAAGATGAGATTTGAATCTAATGCTGTAAGTAAATTATATGTTTCCTATATTTTCCCCTTCATAGAAAAATGATATCCCCAGTTTCTCTCTTTGTAGCAGCTTGCAGTGTCAATTGGGCAATAATGTCATTGATCTTACCAAAACGTATTCCGAAATCTAGGACAGGCAGCAGGAGAGCTGTCAGCATAGGCAATAAACTACAAGGACGAGTGCTGTAGATAGAACTCATAGTTGTAGCAGCAATAAAAATACTAATAACCATAATGATATCTGATGTTCTATAAAAGTTTTAGTGAAGAGAAACTCATTTTTGACTGCATTGGGCATACAGGGTTAATTTCAGTACACAGCAGACATTCATAGAGCCATAAATCTACACTGCTAAGAAGGGGCGGACTGACCATTTGGAAACTCGGGCACTGCTCGAGGGCCCAGGGTCAGTAGGGGGCCCCATGAGATGCCCCTGGTACCTTTTTCATAGGCTTTTTTGAGTTTGGGCAAGGACACAGGGGCCCCATGATCCCCTATTGCCCAGGGACCCCCATGAGTTGTCAGTCCGCCCCTGCTGCTAAGACAGCTGAGCAAATGATTCTTACTGTACAGAGGGTGATCTGTGATTAGCCACATGATCCTGAGGTCTGATTTCAGCTCTGTTGTACTGGAAACTTAACCATTTAGTTTTCCTTAACAGCCTCTATAATGGGCCCCCCCCCCCCCCCCTCCTACCTGAGGCCCCATGGCATTTGCATGTGCTGCTAAGGCTATTGTTACATTACTACTCCATATACATATTATAATTGATTTAAACATTATGTGGCACTGTACGATGTAGATGATACAAAAACTGTAATATAGAAAATAAACAAAGATGTTTCCAGTGATAAGTATATGTTCTTCTACAGTAAAATATACAGGTGCACCTCAATAAATTAGAATATCATCAAAAAGTTAATTTATTTCAGTAATTCAATTCAAAAAGTGAAGCTCATAAAATATATAGATTCATTACACACAGAGTGATAAATTTCAAGCATTTCTTTTTTTTTTTTAATTTCAATGATTATGGCTTACAGCTAGTGAAAACCCAAAATTCAGTATCTCAGAAAATTAAAATACAGTATTGTAAAAAAGGTCAATATTGTAGACTCATGATGTTACACTCTAATCAGCTAATTAACTCAATACACTTGTAAAGGTTTCCTGAGCTTTTTAAATGGTCTTTCAGTCTGGTTCAGTAGGTTACACAATCATGGGGAAGACTGCTGACCTGACAGTTGTCCAGAAGATAGTCATTGACACATTCACAAGGAGGGTAAGTCACAAAAGGTTATTGCTAAAGAAGCTGGCTGTTCACAGAGTGCTGTATCCAAGCATATTAATGGAAAGTTGAGTGGAAGGAAAATGTGTGGTAGAAATAGTGCACAAGCAACAGGGATAACTGCAGCCTTGAGAGGATTGTGAAGCAAAAGCCATTAAAGAATTTGGCGGAGAGTGGACTATGGCTGGTATCAGTGCTTTAAGAGCCACCACACACAGATGTATCCAGGACATGGGCTACAACTGTCACATTGCTTGTGTCAAGACACTCCTGAACCAGAGACCGCATCAGAAGCATCTTGCCTGGGCTAAGCACTGGGCTGTTGCTCAGTGGTCCAAAGTCCTCATTTTGGATGAAAGTAAAATCAAGGTCCCAGAGTCTGGAGGAAGAGTGGAGAGGCACAGAATCCAAGTTGCATGAGGTCCATTGTGAAGTTTCCACAGTCAGTGTTGATTTAGGGAGCCATGTCATCTGCTGGTTTTGGTTCACTTGTGTTTTATCAAGTTCAAAGTCAGCGCAGCCCTCTATCAGGAAATTCCAGACCACATCATGCTTCCCTCTGCTGATAGGCTTTATGGAGATGCTCATTTCATTTTCCCACAGGACTTGGCACCTACCCACACTTCCAAAAGTACCAATACCTGATCATGGTATCACTGTGCTTGATTGGCCAACCAAACTCGCCTGACCTAAACCCCAATCTGTGGGGTATTGTCAAGAGGAAGATGAGAGAAACCAGACCCAACAATGCAGATGAGCTGAAGGCCACGATCAAAGAAACTTGGGCTTCCATAACACCTTAGCAGTGCCATAGGCTGATCGCCTCCATGCCACACAGTATCAATGCAGTAATTCATGCAAAAGGAGCCCCGACCGAGTATTGAGTGCATACTATACTGTACATGGACATACTTTTCAGTAACAACATTTCTTTATTAAAAATCATTTTTCTTTTTAAATTGGTCTTATATAATATCCTAATTTTCTGAGTTACAAAATAAAATTCAAAATAAAAAAGAGAAATTCTTAAAATATATCACTCTGTGTGTAATAAAATTTTTTTTTCACATTTTGAATTGAATTACTGAAATAAATTAACTTTTGATGATATTCTAATATGAGATGCACCTGTATACCACAACAAAGAGATGAAATAAGGGAGAGAACTAGCAATACACACTTACCATCTAGAAGTCAAGTAAGAAATGGAGGCACCAAAAAAGATGGTTATAGGGTGATATTGGGTCCCATAGAAGAGAAGAGGGAGTGCTGGTGGCACCCTTATGGATTAGAAGATAAACCAATAACAGCCAATCATAAAACAGCTTTCAGGCAAATGACTGCTCATCTCAGGGTTATTTTTTTCTAACTATAGCACAACTGATATTTCACATAGGCGCAGTACTTTATTAAAGTGCTAAAATGCACATTGTACGTGTTTTCCTAAAAATTTTACATAAAGTTCACTTTTAAAGAAACAGAATTCCACAATTTTCTAATCCTAGGTCTTTTATACAAACCAAAATCTTTGACTTTTACATCATTTCCCATCCTTCCTACCATTCTCAAACCTTTAAAAAAGAAAAAAAATAGCTGAAACTTAGTTGTCATGCATAAAACCGGCAACTTTTATTTTCAGCTTCATCTAGATTTATATATTTTGAAGAGTGATGGCTTAGACTAGAGGGACTGTACCCTTTAGGCCCAGGCTTGTAATATATACATGTTATTGCCTCACTTGCTTCTTTCCTATACTATGATATTATACAATAAATGATTGAGCAATTTCATTTCACACTGTTAGAACATGTTCATTCTATAATAAGCTGAATACACTTAGCCTACACCTTTTAGTTTTGTATCTCGGTAAGCATATTTTGTTATCTATCCTTTTTTCTTTTTCTTACTTAGGGCCTACCTAAGGGCTATGATGACTGTCCATTCTATTTCTGGTTTAATACTTCGTTCGTAGAAAATAACAGGTAAGTTTTAAGTTGGTATTGTGAAAGTTGTATTTTGTCTAGAAAGTTTTACATCTGGGTTTAGCTCATCTGATGATTTGGAGACGCACAAGACCCCAAAAGCACTAGACGGTGAATACCCTTGGATAATTACTGAAACAGAGAATAGTGGGAGCCAAGAACATGACAGAGGCCAGATGTGGGAATAATGGAGCCTGCCATTGCTGACCCTCTTGGTTAAATACTTCCTAACTCACTGACTCAAAACAAGTTTCTCGAAAGAACTTTTCTCTGATTAATTTACTTGTTCTAGGTCAGTGACTCAACTTTAGCAACTTCCTAGTAGTGCTGAGCTTGACCCCACACTTCCCACCCCTTCCTGCACATTCATGTTGGTCATTGTGATGAACCATTAGGAATATAAGAGAGTAGGAGGTAGCAGCCAATTTTGATACTAACCAGGATTATTGGAGCATTGCCAATCAGATGAACCCAAAAACTAACAAGATCTACAAATAATTGTGATTGAATGGTCAAATTTATGATAAGACACTAGTAAATTAATTTAATTTTTTTTTTCTTATGACAAGTACTTATATAGCGCTGTCAATTTATGCGGCACTTTACATATATATTGTACATTCACATCAGTCCCTAACCCTCAAGAGGCGTACAATCTAAGGCCCCTAACTTACATTCATACATACACATACTAAGGCCAATTTAGATAGGATCCAATTAACCTACCAGCATGTCTTTGGAGTGTGGGAGAAAACCGGAGTACCCAGAGGAAACCCGCGCAGGCACAGGGAAAACATGCAAACTCCAGGCAGGTGGTGCTGTACTTTGCATGTTCATAAGTGTTTCAAGTAAAGATAATATTTTAAAAGGTGTTTTTATTGTTTTTTCAACAAATACAAATGAGCGAACATTGCTC